GCTGCAGCTGTCACCGTATTGCATTCGTCGCGTTATCCTCCCCCCCTTCTGCCGTAGGGCATGGGACTGCGCACCTGAGCAAAGCGACGACGACTTTGACACCACGGCTCATGCATGGAATCTGGCTGCGACAGGCTGCCAATCGTCTGCACATAGACGACTGCAAGGTTGCCACAGGTCGTCCTGCGTCAGCGCGCTGCTGCGTGTGTGTGGAGTTGACTGCGGCACCAGTGCGCGGCCCAACACTCATGCTTGGAGCTTGGCTGAGCCACCCGTGCGCAGCAAACACGCACGCACGGAGCGCTAGCACTCACTGAGGTCATCGGATGGAGGAGGCCTTGCCTCGTGCCCGATAGCGGCTTCGCCGAGATGCCGGATCGTCCAGCTCGGCTCAGACACGAGGTGCGTGCACCCAATAGAAGTCATAGGATGGAGGAGGCTGTACCTCGTTCCGGATGGCGGCTTCGCTGCTATGCCAGATCTTCCAGCTCGCACGCCAGGGAGAAGAAGGTGGGTCGCTCGCTGGGATCCTGCGCCCAGCACGCCCGCGTCAGCTCTTCGAGAGGCACCGCCATCGCGCAGTCTGTGTCGATCTCGGGCCTCACGCCCTGTAAGACGAGCCGAGGGACCTCCGCGGTCTCCACGTCGACGAAAGGGGGCTCGAAACACATGATCTCGAAGAGAAGCATACCGTAGGCGTACACGTCGACCTCCAGGTAGTCCGCCACCGTGCCGCTGGGCACGGAGTGGGCGTGTCCTCGGATCCTTTGTCCAATCCTCTGAGCCTCAGTCCTCGATCCTAGGAGGGTTCCTCAGGAGCCCAGACCCCCAATTCTCTCATCTTCTTGGGCTTGGCGCGGTTCCCCTGGACACCGTCGCGTCTTTCCGCATGATTGTTTGGGCCCAAGAGGCCCCGAAGACGGGCCAAGAGGCCCCGCTTACGGTTTCAGACGGCCCCGAGTCGCCAAGCGATCGCTCCAAGACGCTCAAGATGGCCCCCAGACGTCCCAAGAGGCCTCCAAGACGCTTGAAGAGGCCTCCAATAGGCCTCCCAAGAGGGCCCCAAGAAACCCCAATCATTGATTCCTCCGGTTTTTTGTTGGTTTTGGGCGTCCTCGCCGTTTCGGCTCCCCGACGTTCCCAGAAGGCCCGAGATGCTCAAGAGGCGAGGACCCAGATGGGGGATCCGAACGGACATTTCGAGCCCTAGGCCCCGAGGGACCCCCAGGAGGCCCGAAGAGACCCCCTTGAGGCCCACCAAACCCCCAAGGGGACCCCAAGAGGCCCCCAAGAGGCCCCCAAGAGGCTCCCAAGAGGCCCCCAAACTGCCCCCCAAGAGGCCCCCGAGAACCCACAAGCCAGGCACGGTGGCGCGATGGGCCGAAGGCCATGAGATCCGCCGCCCCCTGTTGATTCATCACAGGGGTGCCTGGCGTGCTGAACCCTCTAGGTTTTGGCTTTGGTTTTTTTCCAAAAGAACCCCCCCTGGGGCTTCGGCCCGTCCCGCCGGCCACCCGGAAGGCGCTCAGTTCCCCAATCTCGTCGGCTTTTTCGTTCAAGATGGCCGAAGATGGCCTCCAAGATGCCTCCAAGACGGCCAAGATGGCCTCCAAGGCGGCTACGATGGTCCCAAGATGCCTCCAATACGGCCCAAGATGCACCCAAGACCGCCTAAGATGGCCTCAACATGACCCACAACGGCCCAAGAGGCTCCCAAGAGGCCTCCAAGACGGCCCAAGAGGCCTCCAAGAGGTCCTCCAGGAAGGCCCGAAGAGGCCAAAATTATTGATTTGCCTTAGGTGTTTGAAGGATTTTGGCATTTGCGCCTTTTCGACTTTCCGACGAGGCCCCCAAGATCGCCCAAGAGGCTCCCAAAAAGGCCCCTATGACGGCCCAAGTGGCCTCCAAGACGGCCCCAAGAGGGCCCCAAGACGGCCCAAGAGGCCTCCAACACACCCAAGATGGCTTCCAAGACGCCCAAGATGGCCTCCAAGACAGCCCCGAAGCGCCCCAAGAGGGCCCCAAGTCGGCCCAGAAAGGCCCGCAAGACGGCTCCCGACGGCGTCAGACGTGCCAGGAACCCACCACGATGGCCGAAGTTGGCTCGAAGCTGGCCCAAGACGGCCCAAGAGGCCCCCAAGAGGGCCTCGAGGAAGGCCAGAAGAGGCCCGAAACAGTGATGTTCCCAAGGCTTTCGACGGATTTTGACATTTGCTTCTTCTCGGCCTTCCGACGGCCCGAGACGGCCCAAGAGCCCCCGAAGATCGCCGAAAGATCGCCCAAGAGGCCTCCAAGATGGCCCCAGAACGGCCCAAGAGGGCCCCAAGACGGCCCCAAGATGCCCCCAAGACGACACAGGAGGCCTTTAAGACGCCCAAGATGGGCCTCCAAGACGGCCCTGGAGCATTCTAAGAGGACCCTAAGGCGGCCCATGGAGGCCCCCCAAACGGCTTCCGACGGTTCAGACGGACCAGGAGCCCACCAAGACGGCCGAACATGGCCCTAAGATGGCGCAAGACTGCCCAAGAGGCCTCCAGGAGGGCCTCTAGGAAGGCCCGAAAAGGCCAAAATCATTGATATCCCATGGGTTTTTGAAGGATTGTGGCATTTGCTGTTTTTCTGCCTTCCGACGGCCCGAGACGGCCCAAGTCCCCCCAAAGATCGCCCAAGAGGCCCAAGACACGACCCCAAGAGGCCCCCAAGACGACCCAAGAGGTCTCCAAGACGCTCAAGATAGCCTCCAAGACGGCCCAAGAGCCCTCCAAGACGTCCCCCAAGAAAGGGTCAAAATGGCCTCCTGACTGCCAAGATGACCTTCAAGATGCCCCCGAAGGCTTTCCGAACCGATTCGGGGAACACATGGTCCGATAGCTTGGCAGGTCTGGCCTCAGCGTTCGGCCACATAGGCGCTTCCACAAAGGCAGGGGGCGGCGGTGACTCGCCGGAGGCGTCTTCGATCCGCCGCCCCCTGTTGCTTGCAACAGGGGCGCCTGGTGTGCCGAACAATATGGCTTTTGGTGTTGGTTCTTTTTCCCAAAGAACTCACTCTGGGGCTTCGGCCCGTCCCGCCGGGGTCGCGGGAGATTCCCGAAAATCCGTCTGTCAATGCCTTTGTTGCCCCAAGTTGGCCCAAGATGGCCTCCAAGACAGCCAAGGTGGCCCAGGATGATCCATGATGGCCTCCAAGATGCCTCCAAGACAGCCAAGGTGGCCTCAAAGACGGCCACGATGGCTCCACGATGCACCCAAGACGGCCCAAGACGGCCTCAAGATTGTCTACGATTGCCCAAAAGGCCCGCCAGAGGCCTCCAAGACGGCCCAAGAGCCATCAAAGACGTCCTCCATGGACTCCAGGATGGCCCGAAGAGGCGAAAATCATTGATTTGCCATTGTTTTTTGAAGGATTTTGACATTTGCGCCTTTTCGGCTTTCCGACGGCCCAAGACGGCCCAAGAGGCCCTCAAGGTCGCCCCAAGATCGCCCAAGAGGCCTCCGAGATGGCCCCATGACGGCCCAAGAGGCCCCTCAAGACGGCCCCAAGAGGGCCCCAAGAGGCCTCGAACACGCCCAAGATGACTTCCAAGACGGCCAAGATGGCCCAAGATGGCCTCCAAGATGCCTCCAAGACGCCAAGATGGCCTCCAAGACGGCTAAGATGGCCCCGAGATGCCTCCAAGACGGCCCAAGATGCACCCAAGACGGCCTTAGATGGGCCCGAGAGGCCCCCAAGAGGCCTCCAAGACGGCCCAAGAGGCCTCCAAGAGGTCCTCCAGGAAGTCCTGAAGAGGCGAAAATCATTGATTGTCCATTGCGTTTTGAATGATTTTGGTATTTGCGCCTTTTCGGCTTTCCGTCGGCCCAAGACGGCCTAAAAGGCCCCCAAGGTCGCCCCAAGATCGCCCAGGAGGCATCCGAGATGGCCCCATGACGGCCCAAGAAGTCCCCAAGACGGCCCCAAGAGGGCCCAAAGACGGGCCAAAAGGCCTCCAAGACGCCCAAGATGGCCTCGAAGACGGCCCCGAAGCGCCCCAAGAGGGCCCCAAGTCGGCCCAGGGAGGCCCCCAAGACGGCTCCCGACGGCGTCAGACGTGCCAGGAGCCCACCAAGACAGCCGAAGATGGCCTTAAGATGGCCCAAGAGGCCTCCAAGAGGGCCTCCAGGAAGGCCCGAAAAAGGCCAAAATCATAGATTTTCCTAGAGTTTTTGAAGGATTGTGGCATTTGCTTTTTTTCGGCCTTCCGACGGCCCGAGACGGCCCAAGTGCCCCCAAAGGTCGCCCAAGACGGCCCCAAGAGGCTCCCAAGACGGCCCAAGAGGCCTCCAAAACGCTCAAGATGGCCCGAGAGCCCTCCAAGACGTCCTCCAAGAAGGCCCGAAAGGGTCACAATGGCCTCCAGGGGGCCAAGATGACCTTCAAGATGCCCACGTGTTCCCCGAAGGCTTTCCAAACCGATTCGGGGAACACATGGTCCGATAGCTTGGCAGGTCTGACCTCAGCGTTCGGCCACATAGGCGCTTCCAAAAAGGCAGGGGGCGGCGATGACTCGCCGGAGGCGTCTTCGATAGTCCGTATGCCCGGCCAAGATCTCTGGCGCCATCCACTGTAAAGTGCCCGCTAAGCCTGTCATGCCACCGTCGCTGACGCCTTCCGCGCTGTCGCAGATCGATCCTGGGACGAGGGGAGCGCGGGGCGTCGACAACCTCGAAGCAGCTGCCGCGATGCCACTCTGGCCTGGCTCACCGCCGATGGCCGGAGCGATTGTTTGCTGTGCTGGACCCATGCGCATCTTCGCGAGGCCGAAATCCGTAACTTTTGCAAGCGGTACGTCGTCTGGTGAGCAGACGGGCTCCTGGAGCACGATGTTCAAGGATTTCAGGTCGCGGTGGAGGACCGGCGTCGCCAGCCCGTGGAGGTACGCCATGCCTTCGGCGACGTCCCTCGCCACTTTGAGCTGCTGAGTGGGCACCACGTCTACCTCGGACAAGCACAGCAGGTGAAACAGGGAGCCGCCCCGGCAAAACTCAAGCACCATGTCGAAGACGCCCTGGTCATGGCAGAACCCGAACAAGCGGACCAAATTCGGGTGCTGCTGACACGACATCACGCCCAGCTCCCGGACGAAGACGTTTGCCTTCTTCTTGTCGTCCACCGTCAAGCGCTTCACGGCGACCTGGCGGCTCTTCCAGAAGCCTGAGAAGACTTCTGAGGTGCTGCCGGTGGCGATGCTCCTCTGGTAGGGAACCAAACAATGGCATAGACATACAAAACTCGGAGGTCCGCGCGGATTTCTCGGATCCGCGCTGGACCTCCCTCCCTGGCGCGCGGAACGCGCCAGGGGTGGCGCCAGAGGCGCCGCCAGGGGGGTCCAGCGCGGATCCGAGAAATCCGCGCGGACCTTCGAGTTTTTGTGTTTGTGCCAATGTTCGTTCCCCTGTCTGGATCGTCACATCGCCGCTCGCTATGCCGAGCTCGGCGCCCCAGGCCTCTATGGCGGCGTCGGCGTCGCAGCTGCCCTGCATGGCCTTCGCGAGGCAGGCGTCGCGTGCGTCGCCGTCGCGCTCCGGGACCTCCAGGCTGGGGCACCTGGTGCTCCCCCCGTCGTCGTTCTCGCTCGGCCACGCCTGGGCAGCAGAAAGCAGGACTCGACCTAAACAATTCGGGGGGGCACAAAGGTGGGGTAGGGGCAAACACGGGGCTGGAGGGAATGTCGCTCTGGACGGCCCCTGGAAGAAGGAAACGCGTTAAACGGGAGCATCTGGCTGGGTCCGTTCCCCAGCCCCACCTTGGGAAAGATAACCCTCCCTCAACGAACCCCGAACAATGTTATCATTTGTTTCGTTTCGTTTCCGATTGCCCTTGTGCCGTCTCCGTGCAGACCGTGCTGCGAAACGAACTCGAAAAGAATGCGGTCCACGAGATCGCCCAAACACCGTGTGGGTCGAGCTCTGACATAAAAAGTTACCCAGAGCAAGACGGTGTAAGGTGTAAGCGAAGCTGGCTGACTACATCCCGCGGTTCAAGATTGGCGCTGCAGCTAAACCAGGGTGCAATTGATCCGATTTTAGATGCAGCGCCTACTCCCAGTTCAGATACGCTCTAGGCTAGGCCCCGCCACCGCCTTTCGATGGGCCCCGGATCCATCGAGGCGGGGTGGCGGGGCTCATCCTGGAGTGGCACGGACACGAGGGATCTGCTGACGCAGGATCTTGCGAGATCTTGCGGTCTGGCTGGCCACATCTTAAGACTGGCCTCGCAAGGCTCCGAGCTGCGCACGGAACGGCTCCCCACGTAGTCTCCGGTCGGGCGTGCCCCCCTACAAGCGGATTTTGGACGAAAATAAAAAACCCAAACATATATTCAACAAAATTAAAAATGCAAAAATCGTCCCCTGAGTATTTACCTAACAGCGAAGACTGATAGGTTTCTAGTAGGGTCAAAAGAGAGCATCATGACTCCCCAGGGGGGTCTGGGCAAATGCCGGACGATGCCGGACGGGTGCCGCGGGAATCCGGGACTCCTTTTTTAGCCAACAGTAATGCACTTCGTGGTCTTCGAGTTCCCAGAACTCCATTCCTGGGCATGATTTTGAATGCCAGGAGCCAACTGTAGGCCACTTCGTGTTCTTCGAATTCCCAGAACTCCATTCGTGGGCATGATTTTGAATGCCCGGAGCCAACTGTAGGCCACTTCGTGGTCTTCGAGTTCCCAGAACTCCATTCCTGGGCATGATTTTGAATGCCTGGAGCCAGCTGTAGGCCACTTCGTGGTCTTCGGGTTCCCAGAACTCCATTCCCGGGCATGATTTTGAATGCCCGGAGCCAGCTGTAGGCCATTTCGTGCTCTTCGAGTTCCCAGAACTCCATTCCCGGGCCACATTTTGAATGCTGAGGCAGGCTGATGCTGAGGCTGAGGCAGGCTGAGGCTGAGGCAGGCTGAGGCTGAGGCAGACTGAGGAGGCTGAAGGCAGAGGCTGAGGCTGAGGCTGAGGCTGAGGCTGAGGCTGAGGCTGAGGCTGAGGCTGAGGCTGAGGCTGAGGCTGAGGCTGAGGCTGAGGCTGAGGCTGAGGCTGAGGCTGAGGCTGAGGCTGAGGCTGAGGCTGAGGCTGAGGCTGAGGAGGCAGGCTGAGGCTGAGGCCGAGGCTGAAGGCAGACTGAGGCTGAGGCTGAAGCAGGCTGAGGCTGAGGCTGAGGCTGAGGCTGAGGCAGGCTGATGCTGAGGCAGGCTGAGGCTGAGGCTGAGGCTGATGCAGGCTGAGGCTGAGGCAGGCTGAGGCTGAGGCCGAGGCTGAAGGCAGACTGAGGCTGAGGCTGAAGCAGGCTGAGGCTGAGGCTGAGGCTGAGGCAGGCTGATGCTGAGGCAGGCTGAGGCTGAGGCTGAGGCTGCAGGCTGAGGCTGAGGCAGGCTGAGGCTGAGGCCGAGGCTGAAGGCAGACTGAGGCTGAGGCTGAAGCAGGCTGAGGCTGAGGCTGAGGCAGGCTGAGGCTGAGGCTGAGGCAGGCTGATGCTGAGGCAGGCTGAGGCTGAGGCTGAGGCTGATGCAGGCTGAGGCTGAGGCAGGCTGAGGCTGAGGCCGAGGCTGAAGGCAGACTGAGGCTGAGGCTGAAGCAGGCTGAGGCTGAGGCTGAGGCAGGCTGAGGCTGAGGCTGAGGCAGGCTGATGCTGAGGCAGGCTGAGGCTGAGGCTGAGGCTGATGCAGGCTGAGGCTGAGGCAGGCTGAGGCTGAGGCCGAGGCTGAAGGCAGACTGAGGCTGAGGCTGAAGCAGGCTGAGGCTGAGGCTGAGGCAGGCTGAGGCTGAGGCTGAGGCTGAGGCTGAGGCAGGCTGATGCTGAGGCAGGCTGAGGCTGAGGCTGAGGCTGATGCAGGCTGAGGCTGAGGCAGGCTGAGGCTGAGGCCGAGGCTGAAGGCAGACTGAGGCTGAGGCTGAAGCAGGCTGAGGCTGAGGCTGAGGCAGGCTGAGGCTGAGGCTGAGGCAGGCTGAGGCTGAGGCAGGCTGAGGCTGAGGCTGAGGCTGATGCAGGCTGAGGCTGAGGCAGGCTGAGGCTGAGGCCGAGGCTGAAGGCAGACTGAGGCTGAGGCTGAAGCAGGCTGAGGCTGAGGCTGAGGCAGGCTGAGGCTGAGGCTGAGGCAGGCTGAGGCTGAGGCAGGCTGAGGCTGAGGCTGAGGCAGGCTGAGGCTGAGGCTGTGACTGCGACTGCCGTTGCCACTGCGACTGTCATCGCGAATGCGACTACGACTGACTGAGAACAGCAGAATTCTACAACTGGATTCTCATCTGAATCTTAAGGGGAATGCTTCCAGATATGCTCCTACACATCGCTGTTAGGTTGCTTTGCCGGAATAATTTTTGGATATTCTTGAATATTCCTCCTGTAGAGGGACATGCCCGACTTAAGGCTGGCCTCGTAAGGCTCCAGGCTGCGCACCTAGTCCCTGCCGGCCTCTACAGGTCCCTGCCGGCTCCAGGCTGCGCACCTAGTCCCCGAGTGGTCCCAACTGGCCTCCAGAGGCCTCCTGGGCGTTGAGGCCGCCAGGTGCCAGGCGCCCTGGCGCTACCAGAGGCGGCGCCAGGGCGTTGCGGCGCAAGGGAGGAGGATGAGGAAAAAGAGGAGGAGGAGAAGGAGGAGGAGGAGGAGGAGGAGGACGAGGAGGAGGAGGACGAGGAGGAGGAGGAGGAGGAGGAGGAGGAAGAAGGCGGCGCAGGATCCTGTTCAGGTCAGCTGGGACCTCTCGGGGGGCCCGTTGAGGTCAGCCGGATCTTCCTAATTAGGGGCGATGTCTGTGCGCCACCCGAAGCCTTGCCAGAGCAGCCCCCGTCAGTTCTGCCAGCCGAGCACCTTCCCGGCGCTCCCCTCCGGGTGCGCCTCCGCGGAAGGCGAGTAGCTCGCAATGTCAGCATGGTCGCGGTGGACGCCCTGTGGCCAGAGGAAGCGCAGGACCGACCGCATGCCCCGCTAGAGAACGTGGGCCGAACAACTGACTCGAATGAGCGTGCCCAAATCGCTGACTTGGGAAAAAAGGAGAGGGAAGAGAAGGAGGAGGAGGAGGAGGAGGAGGAGGAGGAGGAGGAGGAGGAGGAAGGGGGCAAGAGCAAACCCAAGCATCAACGATGGATCCTGCCGTCCCAAGTGCCCTCCTCATGAGACCCTGCAGGCATTCTGCTCCACTGCGCGGAGTGCTCTCCTTGAAAGACGAGCGCCCAATGGGCCAGCAATTCAGGCCGATGTTCAGCCTAGAAGCCTTGAAAGATCAGCTGTTCTGCATCCTTTGAGCTGTAAGGAATCCACCACGGTGGGACCATGAGCTCACGGGGATGCCCAACGACAACCACGCTTTCAAAAACAACCGCCGTGCACATCCGTGTAGCTGTTGGACAGCGTTCCCAGCTTCTGGCCCAAAAAATCCCGACGAGGTCTCAAGCGAGAGCACCGTGCTGAAAAAGAACCGCCCGCCATCCATCCTTCGCTGGAGATGCTCGAAGAAGTGCCCTTAATCCATTCACGTGTCCGACTGTCCGAGACGGGCGTGCGCGGCGGGCGCCACGGCCGGAGCCCGGTGTTGAAAACGGCCCGCCCTCCACTCGCGCAACGGCTGGGAATAGCAACCGCCGAAATCGTAACCGATCGGTGAGAGGGTCTCAGCCTCAACGCTCGGACCGCCTTGACGACACGTCTGGTGTGGCACGACAGTGAGGACTTGTTTATGCCATACGTAGAGGAGGGTGAGGAGGGGTAGGAGGACGCAGGGAAAGCAGGAGGGGTGAACCACCGAACGACCACCTATGCGGCCAGCCGTCTGGTCCCGACTAAGACCAAGTGGGTGAGGCCATAGCGTCGGGAATCAATTCAATCAAACATGCATCGGAACCACTCGCGGGGGCAGACGAAGGGCGAACAGAAGGGGCGCGGAGGGACCAAAGACACGGCCAGGAAACCTCGGGCCCTCCCCCAGCGCCCGCGGAGATGGGGCGACGGCTTCAGGCACCTCTCGGGCGGCCCAGTCGGGACCACAGCGCAGGCGGGGCAGCCGCAGCGGGATCGATGGTCCTCAGGACGCGTCTTAGCGCCACAGCGTGCTTGTCTGCCGAAGCCCTTCGGCATGCGGTGCAGTGAGGGCCGGCACGGGCTGCGGGCTGTCGGTGGAGCTGGCCGGAATAAAGCATGCATCCCCACAAGCAAGTGGTCCGGCACAAGACCGTAGAGCGGGGGGATGCGCAAAAGCGGCATCCCCAAGGGAGTGGAAGCGCCAGTCCAAGCTGGGACCACGTGCGCTCTGCGGATCCAGGAGCGCGCGAGAACACTTATTCTACCATCCGCAGAGCGCCCAGTGGCGGAGGAGGAGGAGGAGGAAATGGAAGAGGAGGAGGACCAGTGCAAACCCAAAACGCACTGACGAGATTGGCAATAATCCATCCTTCAAAGCTCCCGCGTCATAGGCCCCATCAAACAATGCTTCTTGCGGGAAGTCCTCCATTGGACAAAACGGTTAGAGAATCTTCAATCGTGCCGAGACATCACGAAACAACGTGACCGATGAGCCCTGGCATTCCTAAATCGCGCCATGACGCCATTTCTGGGACTTCACCACCGCAGATCGTGACTGTTGCGTCCTGACAGTCCTAAACTGCGCCAACATACCATTCCTGGGACTTCAGCCATACGAATCCTTGAAACAAGTGAATCCCACCAGCCCTCGGGGCGTAGGTGGTCTAGAGAGCTTTCTCTTCCATTTCCCTTCTTCCCATTTCGGAGAATGGTTACCCCTCCCCTACCCCCTCCCCTGGACCTGAAAGGGTGGGGTCGCGGGTCGTTGGAGTGTCCGAAATGGCCCAAGATGGCCCTAGGAGGAGTTTGAAAGGGGCTGAGAGGCCCAACCAGCAGCTGCGCCTTAGGCGAATCCAAACTCCCGCTCTGTTGCACCGTAGTAACGATAGTCCCAGTAGGGGAGGATGTGCCAGCTCAAGCAGTAGGACGATCCTTTTGGTCTCGATAGCGATTGTGTGCCTCGCAGTGAAGCACAGTCATATTTGGGCGGCCGGCCGCCTGAGCCGACGCGGCCGCGGGCGCACGCTCGCTTCCACTCCTTACGTCCCTCAGCTCGCTTTGGAGTCGGGGGGGAGGGAGACGAAGCGTGAGCCCGTCGCCCCTATACAGCAGGCACAGCAGCTTATATACACAAGGACAGAAGAGGAAGCGGGCCAAAAGGAAGGTGGTCCCGCTCGCAAGTTGCCTCGCTTGTGCAATTCTGTACGTGACGTACTCATCAGGCGGCGTCATAACCTGCTGTCTGGCCGGCCCGATATGGAGTATGTCTCTTCAGGTCATGTATGAAGGCCCGTATGCCTCCCATGACTTGTAGGAGAATTTCTCTATCGATGCTCCCCTTGGTGTGACCATCCGCAGTCATATCGCGGGTGTCGCACCACTGGATGCTGTGCACGATTCCATGTTCCATCATATGTCGTATCCAACTGATGTGTCCTAAAAGGGTACACCCAGCCGGCTTCTTCAAGTCTTTGTTTGACAAGGACTTCAAGACAGACTCAGCATCTATGCTCAAGGTGACCTTGGTGCTCAGGCCACCCAACTCAAGTATATGTTTTCAACTGAGGGGGCGTGAGCGGTCCTGCGTAGAGCTCGTGCAGAGTCACAACCGTGGGATTACAGTCCTCCAAATTATAGACTGCTGATAGTGTCTTTGCGGAATAGCTCGAGCGGACCTGCAATCGGTGAAACTTGCAGTACGCATCGATCAAGTGAACGACAGGCTTACCGGATGACGTGTTTCCACGTCGTAGCAGGTTTGCCTCGCGAATACCATAGCCTTTGACATCGTCATCGGCGTCTCCACTCAGGCGTTGGTATCCTGAGTCGCTATGCAGGTCGACCTCGCCCGTAGGATTGATTCATCGCCTGGTATACGATCTTCTTTGGGCAGGCCTGTAGCTTCCTGGTGGTTCCTTTCAGTCGTTGCACTTGGATGTTGGTCAGTTCATGGACACGCTGTAGAGAAACAACATACACCATCAACCACACCTGGGTGATTAATGCATACGCCAGCGCACCCCTGAGGGTGGCGAACATGTCTGCTAACATCTTGGTTGCCTGAGCGTCAGCGTCGGCGCCGGTCAATTCGAGATGTTATATAGGACGGAGCTGTTTGATATATTCAGCATGGTCCAAAGTGACATTGCCGTCCTCATCCTTGGTGTATCTCACAGTACAGTTGGTGTATGTGCGCTTGTTGAGCTTACACTTACCAAAGGTATCTTCAAGGAATTTGACATACTTGTCAATGGTGTCCTCAGTACCGGCCATAAGCTTGGAGGGAAGGTGAATTCCAACATCGTTGATGACTCTTCGTTTTGCACTGGTCCTCCTCCTCCTCCTCCGCATCCTCCTCCTCCTCCTCCTCCTCCTCCTCCTCCTCCTCCTCCTCCCCCTCCCCTCCCCCGCTCTGTCTTCGATTCCTCCTCATCCCCTTCCGCATCCTCCTCCTCCTTCTCACTTTTCCCCTCCGCCTCCTCCTCCTTGTCCTCGTCCCCTCCAGCCTCCTTCCTCCTCCTCCTCCACCGTGCCCCTGGAGGGAGGAGGGAGGAAGGAGGGAGGGAGGGAGGAAGAAAGGATGGAGGGGGGAGCGAGGGAGGGAAGGGAAGGAGGGAGGGAATGAGAGAGGGATGAGGAAAGCAGAGAAAAGCGGGCGGCGCCTGGGCGGGAGCTCTGTCTCCGAGCCCGGACGGCGGCCGGAGCTGAGGCGGGTGCCCCGTCTCCAGGACGCAGTAGCCAGAGCACCGAACACAACCGATAGATCGGATCCTGCCTCCCCAGACCTCCAGCGGCTCTGAAAGGTGTCGCCAAACGTTGTTCGCCATTTTCGGCCCCGGGGCCGTGTCTGGGTCCTGGGGCCGTAGAATTCATGGCTCAGGATGAGCAGCTGCCCTTGGGGACGTGGTCGGGTTTTCCAATTGCCAGCGGCTCGAAAACATCGAGTCGTCTGAGATACGGGTCCCCACCTCCCCCCTCCGGCAAACACTCCCATACGAACGCGGGAGCAGACCTCATGTGTTACTCCCATCCTGGCGACCTCCATTTTCCCCACAACGTCATCCCCTCTCTCTCTCTCTGTCTCTCTGTATGTCTGTCTGTCTGTCTGTCTGTCTGTCTGTCTGTCTGTCTGTCTGTCTGTCTGTCTGTCTGTCTGTCTGTCTGTCTGTTTGTCTGTCACTCTCTCTCTCTCTCTTTTTTCCCTCTGCCTTTCGCAATGATTCTCTCCGTCTCTCTCGCTCCCTCTTCCTGCTCACCCATCCCTCTGATGAGCCCTGTCATGCTTCCCTGCCGTCCCCTGTCACCTTCGGGACTCCTCCCACGCTGCGTGCACGCCCCCTGTTACGCATATTACGCTCAGCGCCTTCGGTCCCAACAAGGCGCTCTCTTTATTATGTGCTCTCCCTGGGTTCCTTAGGGTTTCGTCCCTGCATGCGTCCAGCCATTGTGAGGCTGCGAACCCCCTGCTTTACACCTATCCTGGCCCCGCTTCCCTTCCCCTCCAACCCGCCCTCCCTGCTTCACAGTCCTGCTGCGGCTCTGCAGGACAGTGGCATGCACGGAGCGTGCGGACATGAGCTTCCCACATCGTGGGAGTGGCATCCAGGAATGAAGCATAGCACTTATGTTGATTCGCAAGTCTATTGCAGCCCGACGTGTTTGGGATCTGATCTTGCCCCTGTGGGACAATTTGTCAGGCGAAGCCCCACCCTGCGAATTTACAACTTATATGGGTGACCACTCTCATCATCACCAGGCTTTCTTCCCCACTGTTGAACTGAACTGGCAGAGGTGGCTGTCAAGACATGCGGCGGACGCATACCAACCACCATTTCAGGTGCTATAGGACGGTACGTTGTACCACCACATATAAGGTGGGGCTTCCCAATCTTGACACCAGCACA